ATATATATATACACTATGTGTGTATGCATGTATGTATGCATGTGTATGTATGTATGCATGCATGTATGTATGCGTGTATGTATGCGTGTATTATGTGTGTATGTATGTGTGCATGTATGTGTGCATGGGTGCATTTGTGTATGTATGTATGCATGTATGTATGGGTGCATGTGTGTATGCGTGTATGTACTGACACAAGGAAGAGGCACGTCATCAAAGCATCTCCATGAAATGAGCATGCGCAGGAAGATTTGTCACCGGCTCCCGCCACATGGTTTTGGCGTAGACAAAAAAGCAGAAACTTTTACAAAAGAAGGAAAATAATATAAAAGGATTTATCCGGATTCCGGATGGAGCAAGCCACAAGCGGAGGAGGACGAGGATGGGGAGGAGGGCGGAGGTTTTCCTGGGGCCCAACCACACCAACCTCGCCATATCGCGGAGGAAGCAACAAAATAACCCGCAGGGGATCCCGCACACGGCGCAGGCCCCATCCTGCCAATCAAAGGAAGCCCAGATTAGGGTGGGATCCGCCCCCCCACCCCACCCCCCATCTCCCTTTAACTGTCCTCTCCGTTCTCCCCGGGGCCTTTGATCAAGCGCTTTTGCCCGCGCTTCCCTGCGGGTCCCTTGGGTTTGGCGAAGGCCTGTTTGAAGGCGTGCTGTTTGGGGTGGACTTCGTCGTAGAGGAACTCGGACGTCAACTCGGATCCGTCTTCTATTTCGATCTAAAGGAGGAAGAAAAGAGAACAACTATTCATAAATGTATCAATGCTACAAATGGAAACCTGTCGTCTTTCTAAAGTGAAAGTATTGTTGGGGTTGGTACAGAATTTATTTATTGTGTTCAGGAGCAAACAAAGGAAAATAAAACAATACTTCGTTCTATCCGGATTGTATCATAGCATACGCATGCGGTGCATTCTTCTTTACAGCCAGCAGGTGGCGCCGTGTCCTCCTCTTCATACAACTAAAGCATTGGAGTGAGAAAGGAGTAGAACCCTTGTGCTGTCTTTATTGGCATGCCTGTAGCTGTCTGTCTTGCAAAGCCTCATGGGACTTGTAGTTTCACCCCTGATCTAGTGCTTTCCTCCCAAGCCCGACTGTCCCCGGCCCCACCCCTTTCATTCATTGGATGTCAGTTCTTTCAATCATAGAGGCTCAACAAATCACATGTGGGTGTTACCTATGCAAATACATCCTGCCTGAGAACGCCCCTCCTCCAGACTGACACCCACCCATCAAGGCATTTTGATATTTGCATAACTCCTCCCAATAGCCCGCCCACTGCTTGCATCAGAACTAGATTCCAATCTGAACTACTAAGAGTCCAATGCCTCAATCTCTGGAGGTGTCCTGCAGGGGGAGGTCACCGGGAGGACTGGGAATGAGGCGGGAATGGTTATCCTGCGGTGTTACCTTCTTTGCGATGTCCAGCTGGTATTCCTGCTCCACGGACTCCAGGAGGCGGTTCTTACAGCTGGAGTAGAGCATACGCTCCTTTATACTGCACTTGTATCCCGGCATGGAGTAGATGAACACTGCCAACAAGGAAACAAGAAAATCAATGTACGCCTTCAGGAAACCTGACAACCGCAAGACGCCCGACCACAAGAGACGCCCGACCACAAGAGACGCCCGACCACAAGAGACGCCCGACCACAAGAGACGCCCGACCACAAGAGACGCCCGACCACAAGAGACGCCCGACCACAAGAGACGCCCGACCACAAGAGACGCCCGACCACAAGAGACGCCCGACCACAAGAGACGCCCGACCACAAGAGACGCCCGACCACAAGAGACGCCCGACCACAAGAGACGCCCGACCACAAGAGACGCCCGACCACAAGAGACGCCCGACCACAAGAGACGCCCGACCACAAGAGACGCCCGACCACAAGAGACGCCCGACCACAAGAGACGCCCGACCACAAGAGACGCCCGACCACAAGAGACGCCCGACCACAAGAGACGCCCGACCACAAGAGACGCCCGACCACAAGAGACGCCCGACCACAAGAGACGCCCGACCACAAGAGACGCCCGACCACAAGAGACGCCCGACCACAAGAGACGCCCGACCACAAGAGACGCCCGACCACAAGAGACGCCCGACCACAAGAGACGCCCGACCACAAGAGACACCCGACCACAAGAGACACCCGACCACAAGAGACACCCGACCACAAGAGACACCCGACCACAAGAGACGCCCGACCACAAGAGACGCCCGACCACAAGAGACGCCCGACCACAAGAGACGCCCGACCACAAGAGACACCCGACCACAAGAGACACCCGACCACAAGAGACACCCGACCACAAGAGACAAACATACTAGGTCTGTGCTAACCACAGTTAGATATATTTCTTATATTCAGTGCTCAGTATTGTGTCATGTGACACTTCCAGGTATTTATTCCCTCTCGCAGAGATCACATGACTCCCCCTGACAATGTCTTCATCTACTTTTCTCTCTAGAAGGCCAGCGCCATCTTTGTTCTGTCCTCCCAGGCCCGAGAATACTCAGTCCTTAGATCTGTCAGCTACCTTAAGACCCCACTGACCCTATACACTCCATGACCAATAGATCTCACTGACCCCTATACACTCCACTGACCCCTATACACTCCACTGACCCCTATACACTCCACTTACCAATAGATCTCACTGACCCTATACACTCCACTGACCTATAGACCCCACTTACCAATAGATTCCACTGACCCTATACACTCCACTGACCTATATACCCCACTTACCAATAGATTCCACTGACCCTATACACTCCACTGACCTATATACCCCACTTACCAATAGATTCCACTGACCCTATACACTCCACTGACCTATATACCCCACTTACCAATAGATCCCACTGACCCCATACACTCCACTGACCCCTATACACTCCACTGACCAACTGACAACCAATAGATCCAACTGACCTATACACCCATTAACCTACACACTCCGCTTACCAACAGACCCCACTCACCTATAGACCCCACTCACCCATAGACCCCACTCACCCATAGACCCCACTCACCCATAGACCCCACTCACCTATAGACCCCACTCACCTATAGACCCCACTCACCCATAGACCCCACTCACCCATAGACCCCACTCACCCATAGAC